TCGGCGACTCGTAGCCCTCTTGGACCGTGTGGGGGGCCTTTTGGGTTCCTCTTGGCACACTTTGGGACCCCCTGAGGCTCCAAGGGTGCGGCTGGCCCTTTCGCCCCCCGCCCCCGGGGGAGGGGTTTGGGGAGGGGGAAGCATCTCACACACCGTGACCCCAAGGGGTCGGCGCATTTCAGCCCGTGGTGCAGACGTCTCGACCCCTTTCCCCGAGTGTCGCCTTCCGACTGGACCAAAGGTTGATGGCCTTGAAGCCAGACAGCAGCCCCTTGAAGCCGAACTCGGAGAAAAATGCTACGATTAAGAAGTTGGATGCGCCAGAGGTCTGGGGATGGCCCTGGATGGACATGGTTACGGTGTCTAGTCGTCGACCCTTCTGAGTGAGCTCCGCATACGAGAACGGGGGTTTCAGCTGCGGCGGTGTTCTCTTCTTCTATCCTCTGCTCCCCAATTTCTCTACCCTTCCTCGCTCGTCATCCGGAGCGGCTGGCCAGCACTTGCTTCTCACACGCAGGTCCAGTATGTTACCCAGATTCGTCAGGCGTTTTGTCACCTTGCGGTGAAAATGGCATAGTCTCATGGTGGTCGTATGCACTTCGGCGGTTCGGGCGCTTGCTGCACTTGCTGGCACTTGCTGCGGCGCCTTCGTCCCTTGCTAGCACTTGCTGGACGCTCCGGCCCCATCCTTCGGCGCCCACGCGGTGCATGATGCAGGCCGTCGTCTGGTGTCGGATGCGTCTCGCTTTAAGTCGGGCCTGTTCCTTTACAGGGGGAATATTCAAACATAGTCAAAATTATATATATATATATATATCTATATATTGTTTTTTTTTATTATTTGTTTTTGTATTTTTGGGCATCGTTTGAATCTGTTTTGGGTATTTTTTATTTTTCGTCCAAAATCTCCCTGTAGGGGGACAGGCCCGACCTGAGTCTCGCTCGCCCCCTCCCCCCCATCGTCTCTGGGCTCCCTGAGGGCCCGGGCGCGCGCCCGGCGCGCGTGTTCCCCCTCTCGCGCGGCCCCCCTCTGGCGCCGCCCCCCGCGCCGTCTGCCGTGTCGTCTCTTTGTTGCTGTTTGCGGTGTGGGTTCCTGTGGCGAGGGCGCGCTGGCGGCGCCCCGGCGCCCGCGTCGCCTGGCTGAATTCTACGACGCGGAAGCACCGAGGGGCACGGAGACGCCATTGGACCCGACGGAATTCGACCTAGAACGATCGGGCCCGCGATCGATTCAAGATTGAACGACCGAAGCGGTGTCAAGTCGGAGAAAGGAGAAGCAACACCAACACCACCAGTGGGCCCACCTCCAGGGGGGAGTTCCACGATGCCTCCCCGAGCTAGAGGCTAGGGATGTCTCGAGCGAGAGGGGGGAGGACCACATCACCAGGGAGACCCCCCTTGCCTCCTCGCATCTCCTCGCCCTTCTGGTGTTGGTGTCGCCGTTCCTTGTTTCTATCAAGAACTTTGTGCGCGCGCCGACGCCACACGAACCTGCCGTATTTGGTTTTGCTTTTTCTTTTTCCACAGGGCTCCTCGTTCGCCCTCCCTCCGGCAGGCACGGGCGCGCCCCGTCCAGGCGTGCGGCCGCCTCGGCGGCCGAGCGCCGTCCCCTGCCACGATCCGGTGCCGCCGGCGGGCCGGCCGAGGCGGCAGTGCGCGGGAGGAGTTCGACAGGGCCAGGCCGCTGCTCCGCCTGCCTCCCTCGGGGGCACCAAGCATGTTTGGGTATTATTGGGCTACTTTTTGCTGTTTTCTCCCAAATCCGCCTGTAGGGGGACACGCCCGACCTAACGCTTGGGGAAACCGGAAGGTACCGATACCGCTATTCCCTGGACCTCTATAGGGAACCGAACAGCGACACAAACAAAAAAATCTGAGGTCCGCGCAGATTTCTCTGGTCCGCGCTGGACCCCCCTGGCGGCCTCTTCGGCGCCGCCCCTGGCGCGCTCCGTGCTCCAGGGAGGAGGGTCGAATGCCGATCCGAGAAATCCGGGCGGACCTCCGAGGTTTTGTGTTGATGTCATTGTTCGTTCCCTTGGGGGTGCGTTCTGACCGAGATTTCGGGGCGAATCCAGCGGTCGCGACGAGGGCCTCCCAGAAGGCCCAAACAGGGGGAAACGAAGGAAGGGTAGCGGCATGGGTACCTTTTCCTCCCCCGAGCGCTGGGGGGGTAGGCTCAGGGTGGGAGGGGGCAGGGCCAAAGAAGGTTTGAATGTTGGCGTTTTTTCTCGCAGGGCCAGTTTTTGCTAGACTCGGATGCGCTCCCGCGTTGCTGCGCCTTGCCACGCCCGGGCCGTCCCGAGCGCCTGCTGGGGACCCGAGTTATGACATGACCCGAGATGCAGACGACGGAGCGCAATGCGCAGGACTCAAAAGGGGTCCAGCTGAAAGGGGTGGTGCAATAGATTCGGGGCAATTGTATTGCAAATGTATGGCGCCAGGACATCGTATTGCATTATATTGCAGCAAACGTATTGCACGCGATAACAAAGCAATACATGTGCGCCGGGATGTTTATTGCTCAGCCCAAATCTATTGCAGCCGCACGGAGCTATTGCACCAAACCTATTGCACCACCCCCTTTTCGCTGGACCCCCCATTGGGTCAACCAGTCAGGGGGGATGCATCGACTCCGAATCGCCCACTGATCGCCGACAGGGGCCCGGCAGCGCCCCCGCCCCACATCGCGCGGTGGGTTCATCGCCACTCTAAGCACTGGCGATGTATCGCAAATTGATTCCAGGTCGATATTGCCCCCCGCCCCCCACAGCGTTCCCCTTCGCTCCCGCCCTCTCCCCCGCTCCCGGTGCGTCGGGAGGTCTTTAATGTCTTCGGCCTCTGCACGGCCCTGGGGCAGAGCAATCCGCGCACACACACACACACACACACCCACACACCCACACACCCACACACCCACACACCCACACACCCACACACCCACACCCACACCCACACACCCACACCCACACCCACACCCACACCCACACCCACACCCACACCCACACCCACACCCACACCCACACCCACACCCACACCCACACCCACACCCACCCACACCCACACCACCCACCCACACACCCACACCACACACCCACACCCACACCCACACCCACACCCACACCCACACCCACACCCACACCCACACCCACACCCACACCACACACCCACACCCACACACCACACCCACACCCACCCACCCACACCCACACACACCACACCCACACCCACACCCACACCCACACCCACACCCGCGCGCGCGCGCGCGCGCGCACGCACGCGCACGCACGCACGCACGCACGCACGCACGCACGCACACACGCACACACACACATACATACATACATACATACATACATACATACACGCACACACACACCACACACACACAAGCACACACACAAGCACACACGCACACACACACACACACACACACACGCACACACACACACACGCAAACACCCACACACATACACACACTCTCTCTCCCACACATACACACACCACACACAATGCACGCACACGCACACACGCACACACGCACACACGCACACACGCACACACGCACACACGCACATACACATACACACGCACACACACACACACACCACACACACACACTTTGTTCGTCAGCGGCGAGGCGGCGAACTCCGCTCCAGCGAGAAGCTAGATAGGGGCACTACCTAGCGAATTGGCCGCGAGCAAAGAGGGGGGGGGACGGCCGAGAGGAAGATGGGACGCTTAGACGCCGATGAGTTCGACGATGAGCAGCCGGGGGGGCAGCAGCAGCCAGGTCCGCAGGGCCAGAGCGCGGTGGGCCGCCGTGGCGAACCACGGTGGCAAGGGTGGCGGGGAGCGGCAGCCAGCGGCTGGAGCTGGCGGGGGGCACAGTGAGAAACCACGAACGACGTACGGCGGCGCACCGAGGAGAAGGCACAGCACTGAGCCGTGCGGAGGCGGGAGCAGCGGCCAGATGGCTGGCAGTGACTGGGGTACTTACTGCGGCGTAGCCGCCCGAGTCCAGGTGGCCAGGGGGCGGGGAGAGGTGGGGCGGGGGGCAGCGGGCGAAGCGTCCCAAGCGTCCGCGGGCGGCGGGGCGGAGTAGCAACGCGGGACACACGCACACACACGCACGCAAACCTTTTATGGCGGTGGCGGCCTCGCGCGCGGCGACGAGGCGGAGAAAGCGCAAAGACAGCGCGTGCAGCGGCCGGGCCCTCAATCATACACACACGTGACTCAGGATGAAGAAGCCGGCGCAAGGGAAGTGACCGAGACCTCCATGGGGCTTCGCTCCCAGAGAATCACGGCGTCGGGTGTCTGGGCCTTTCGCTCCATCTGTCACCGAGCTTCGCAGATCGAGCTTCGCGGTGCTCATTTGTTGTGGGCTTCCGAGAGGCTTCAAACCGCGGGGCGGATGGACGATGGACTCGCTATCCGCTCGCAGGGCATAGCGTGTGGCTGGGGCCGCCGTGGCGACGCACGAAGCAACCATTCCCGATTCTACAACAATGGGCCGTTTTCCTGGTCAAATTTCGGCGAGTTCATTTGCATGGAAGGGGAAAGGGGGGCGGGTGGCGCGGAGAGGCCCAAAAGGAATCATGTCGTCACGCAAGTCGGGACTCATGTGCTTGCCTTTGCGGCACAGCGCTGCTCGAAGAGACGGCGGACCGGGGGATGGGGGGTGGGAGCGTTATGCAGGTGAATTTGTCTCCCCTTAAGTCGGGAATCATCAAACATAGGAGAAATATGGGGGGACAATTTTTTGATGATGTTGCAGCATCTTGGATTGCTTTCGGGGGTACCTGTAAATTTTTCCATCCCAAATCAGCCTGTAGGTGGACGCCCGACCGAATCCTGGCCCCAGATTAAAATGACAAGCGGCTTAGTACTCCACAGTGAAGCAGCCGAGGCGCGCGCTTAGAGGCACCTCGCCTCCAGGTAGCCCCTGGGTTCGGGCCGACGCGCCACTCCGGCGGAGCCCCGCGGCCGCCGCACCCGCGATGGTGCCGGAGGCCGCGGCCGGCGCGGTCGGCGGCGTGGCCGGCCTCGCCGAGGCGGCCGAGGCTCGGGGGACCAAGCGGGCTCGCCGACAGGCCCACCAAAGAATGTTCTAACAGCCTGTTGTGGTCTGCGCGACATGTTTGTGTTGTCTGGCTGGGAGTGTCTTGTGTCACCACGTCGGGCTTATGTTGTAAGAGCCTTGTTTGTGTTATTCGAACATGTTGGGGGTTTGCGATCATTTCGTGGCGGGCCGATAGGAATGCCAGGACGATCGGTCCTAGGTCAAAGGGCACCTTTTCTCGGTATCGAGTCCTGGAGGCCGGATATAGCCTTTTAAATCCATCTTGAACGTCGATTGGTGTCGATTAGTATCGGGGGGGAGTCGGTGAGATAGCGCCGATGTTGCGTCGATGCAGCGTCGAGTCACGTCGATCTAGCGTAGATTAGCGTAGATTAGCGTAGATTTAGCGTCGATTCGCGTTGATTCGCAAGAGGCGACAAGATGGCATTGGAGACTCGAGCATTTCTCATCTCCTGGCCAAAGCGGCTGTCTGAAGAAGGCCCCCGCAGGCCGTCATTTTCTCACACTCTCCACGGCGAGCCGTCGCAGATGGGTCGTGGGTGGGTCGCATGGTGGGTCGCGGGGTGGGTCGCGGGGTGGGTCGCGGGGTAGGGTCGCGGGAGGGGTCGCGGGGGGTCGTTAGCGGGTCGCGGGCGAGGACGACGACAACAAACACGCAAACATGCACGACAACAATAACAACAACAACAACAACAACAACAACAACAACAGCAACAACAACAATAACAATCATTTAAGACTGGGGACACTCCGTTCTCACCAGTGCCAGGGTTTTCATAGGAGGCGGGCAATACCCCCACTTTGTGGGGGGGGCCGGTTCAAGCTCTACCAAATTTCCAAACGACTCTTCGCCACCACCCACACCCAGCTTCCCGCCCTATGACGTTCGGACACTTCACTTCGTGGCATGCGGACGACCGTGGCTACTATTCAGGGCCCCGCGGCCGACGACGACGGCGTGCGCGCGCGAAGAAAAAACGAATGTGTCCCGCATGGTATTATTTGACAGGGATGATGGCCCTGGCAGGTGCGCAACCGTTGTTGCAGAAGTTCGAAAAAGTTGCTCGCAAAAGCCCGTTTGACAGAAATGTTTAAAAAGTGTTGGGTTTCCTACGAATCCGCAAGAGCGCGCGGGATGAGATTTTGACAGTTTTTTGTTGAAAAACCATTGGTTTTTTGATGTTTTTATGTTAAAATCGCTGCGAACACTAAGGTTTTGGAAGGATTTCGTCTTGCGCGCGCGAATGTCCACTTTACCTTATTTTTTGCAAGGGATTCTTGAAATTTGATTATATTAGAACAAGAAATGTCATTTTCTATTGTTTTTTGCAAGGGAAAGCGGATTACAACAAAACAACCGGATCCTGTACACACCCTCTTTTCTGAGGCTTCCTCACGAAAATGATGAAAATGTAGCTGCGGCCTAGGCGGCGCAGGGGGGGCGCGCACCAGGGGGCCCAACAATAATTATTCTTTAGAATAAATAATGTTCAACAACAACAACAACGACGACGACGACGACGACAACAACAACAATAACAATAACAACAACAAAACAACAACAACAACAACAACAACAACAACAACAGCAACACCAAAAACAAAAACAATAACATCAGCAGCAGCAACAACAACAAGTAAAACAAAGACAACAATGATACGGACCGTGGATCTCCACTGCAGCCACGCATCAGGGATAATGCATTGCTGTTCGTCTCCGTCACTCTGACACAGCACCCCGCGACTGCGGATAAGAGTGGGGCGGCTGTGTCGTCGGCAGTCTGTGGAGTTTTGATAAATGCCCGCCGCAGGAGCCGATTTGTCTTTTATGCATTACGCAACGAGCCCGCCCCGGGCGGGTGGGTCGCAGTCGGGTCGCAGGGTAAATCGCGGGGTGGCTTGCGGGGTTGGTCGCGGGGTGGGTCGCGGGTGAGTCGCGGGCGGGGCGCGGGCTGGGCAACCAGCAGAGCTCGCAGGACGGAGCGCCCTTTCTGCCGCGCACCCGGGGACAATGGCACGACCGCTCGGCCCCCTCACTTGGACGACATGAGCATCAATTTTCGAAGGTCCGTACGCTTCTCGTGGATTGGCGCCTAGGCCCCCCGTGACGGCGCCTCCGGCGCCGCCCCTGGCGGACATCGCGCGCCAGGGAGGGGAGTCCAGCGGCGATCCAAGAAGTCTTCGCAAACTTGCTGTTTCTGCCATCGCTCAAGACGCTTCGTGTGAACCGCCGAAACTGGTGCAGGCCCCTCCACGTGTCCAAGATGCGCCTTCGGGGGCCGAAGAGGCTCCTGAAGAGGGCCCAGGAGGAGCCCAATCACGGGCTGGAGGCTGCCCAGGCAGGTCTCTGGACGGCTCAAGCGCGAGCATCCCAGGGTGGCCCGAGCCCCGTTCGCATTTGCATCGAAACCGGGCCCGGATCTGGGCTGGTTTTGGCTCCCTTTGTTTGGGGGGACTTCACTTGGGCCCAGAATCGGACAGCACTCACGCCGAGAACAGCCCAAATCGCCGACGAAATGTACATGTTAGAACACGGCCCAGGCGAGATCGATGTCGTGTCGGCTAGAAGAGGCGTCCAGGCGACCCCTGGCGAGGCGAAAAGCATCACGAACACCTACGGCTTCTGCTCGGGCAGAGTTGGGCCGCGCAGTTGGGCCCCGGAGGCGCCCTGGAGGGCCCCGGGAGCTGGCTCCTCCTCCTCCCCCTCCTCCTCCTCCTTCTCCTCCTCCTCCTCCCCCTCCTCCTCCTCCTCCTCCTCCTCCTCCTCCTCCTCCTCCTCTTCCTCCTTCTCCCTTCCTCCTCCTCCTCCTCCTCCTCATCCTCCTCCTCCTCCTCCTCCTCCGCTGGTCGCGGGTGTGGCGCCCCCACCAGCTCTCAGGGGACGGCCCTGAGCAACAGTCCTGGGGGTCATGCACTAAACCGAAACCACTTTGGGGCGTTGCAGAATGCGCTGCGAAAGCGTCGCCTCACGGATTTGAACATCGAGCTCGTCTTGGAAGCCGCCGTGAAGCCGTTCTGAGGCTCGGGAAGGGTCGATGGCGCAGCCGGGCGGAGGAATGGTGGAGGGCTTTGGGGGGGGGGCGGGGGAACGGGGGGGGCTAAAGCCCTGTGTAAGGGGGCGGTGGCTGAAGCCTTGTAAGGAGCACTCGCAGTTAAATCCCACACGCCATTCGGTCTGGTGGGCGGGCGGATTCAAGTGGCTTGTGCGATTCCGCCGACCCCCAGATGAGGAATGAAGTCGACGGGTGAGGCCTTCTGAGGCCTCCTGGGTTCCCCCTGGGGGCCTCGTTTGAGCCTCTTGGGACCTGTTTTGCGTTCAGGCCTCTTGGGGGCCTCTTTTGAACCTCTTTTGGGCCTCTTGGGGGCCTCTTGGGGACCTATTCTGGGCCTCTCGGGTGCCCTCTGGGCCTCTCAGGGGGCCTCCTTTGAGGGCCTCTTCGGCTCGTCTTCTTGCTCGTGCCACGATGTTGTTTCCCCCCCCCGATAGGCGAAGGAGGCGGGCAACGCGGCGCTCCGGTCTGCCGACCTGCCGCTGGCGGTAGAGCGCTACGAGGATCAGGGACGCAAGGCTCAGACATGTCTAGAGGAGGAGGAGGACGAGGAGAATGAGGAAGAGGAGGAGGAGGAGGAGGACGTGGAGGAGGAGGAGGAGAAGGAGGAGGAGGAGGAGGAGGAGGAGAAGGACGAGGACGAGGACGAGGACGAGGACGAGGACGAGGACGAGGACGAGGACGAGGAGGAGGAGGAGGAGGAGGCGGAGGAGGAGGAGGAGAAGGAGAGAGTGACCCTGGGTCAGAGTGACCTCGGGTGCGCGGCTTTTGGGGGGGCCACGGGGGACCGAACACGAGCGCGCAAGACGCTACTGCCGCATCGCGCTCGGCCAACGGGGGACCCAGGCGGGCCCGCACCAGAGGGTACTCCTGCGAAGGGTCACGCGAACGTGTACAGTCAACCCGCACGGTGAGGATGGGCAACCTCCCAAAGGGTACTCCTGCATGCTTGCCCCGTCGGCCCATCCGTGGCCACTTTCGTTGGCCGCGCCCCGCTCGAAATGGCTCTCCACGGCCCTTGCTTCCTTATCACGCGTCCTTATGATACGGGCTGACTGTACCGTATCGCGTTCGGCGATCGGGGGACCCCAGTGGGCCCGCACCAAAGGTCACTGCGGCGAAGGGTCATTCTAACGCGTCCAGTTGAAATCCATGCCAAGAAACACCCTATTTCCCTCCAGGGTGCCCTAGGTTTCTGGGGTTTCGATGGTGTTGCTATGGTAAGCGTGACGTTCCAACACCAAAAATCAAGGGTTGGGTTTCTTGTGGAAGGTTTCTTGTGGACTGGCCTCCACTGTACTGCCGTATCGCGCTCGACGAACGGGGGACCCCAGTGGGCCCACACCAAAAAGGTCACTGCAGCGGAGGGCCGCTCCAACGTTCAGGCGATCGCAAACATGGATCAAGGAGGCGTGGATCAGCGACGGGCCCCGTTTCCATGGGAACTTGTGGAGCTTCCCGCCGCCGAGCGAGGCGGCACCGGCCGCATTTGGGGGAGGGCACCTCCCCCGATCTATGTTTTCGGCGACCGCGCGCCAAATCCACGGATCGCTGAGCCACGTCTGCGCGCCCCCGAGACATGTCGTCGAGCATTCTCGCGCCGCGGGGAGGCCGCAGGGCCGCAGGGCCGTCGCCTCGGCGCCTCGGGCGGTGCCCTCGCCCCGAGAGGGGCCGTCCGAGAGCGAGGCTCGGGAGGCAGAGCTGGCCCCGGAAGAGGGCTGGGGGGAGGAGGAGGGGGAGGAGGAGGAGGCCTGGAGAGGAGGAGGAGGAGGAAGGAGGGAGGAGGAGGAGGAGGAGAGGAGGAGGGAGGAGGAGGAGGAGGAGGAAGGAGGAGGAGGAGGAGGGGAGGAGGAGGAGGAGCAGGAGGAGGAAGAGGGGAAAGGAGGAGGAGGAGGAGGAGGAGGTGGAGGGGGAGGAGGAGAAAGGAGAAGGAGGAGGAGGAGGAAATGGAGGAGGAGGGGAAAGGAGGAGGAGGAGTTGTTCACAAAGAAGACAAGAAATGAAGGTTCTGGGGACGGGCGAGGGCCCCCAGAGGCAGAGGGCGTGGCAAGCAGACCGTGGTCGCGACGGGGCCCTGCCGGGGGCCTCCCGGGCCGCGCCGCCGGCGGTGTTTTGTTCTCCCCCGATCTCCGAGCTCCGCCCGAAGAGTTTGGCTGCTCAGGGAAGGGGGGCGATGCCTTGGGACACACCCTTAGAGGGGCTGTTCGGGCGCACCCCTGTCGAGGATGGCCGCCCCCCCCCCTCCCTATCGTATATCCCAGGGTGAGGGCCTCAGAGCCTTGGACCACTCGAGGGCCCCACGAAGCCTGGGACAGGGGTCGACAGATCTCCTGTTAAGATGCCAGGGATCTTTCCCTCGCTTGTTCGTCTTTTGGGGCCCCCGTCGCCACGGATGGATTTGCATGGGAATCTGTGGCATAACGCACCCCCAGGAGCGGTCCGTGGGGCAGCTGCATCCGTGCCACTATGTCCCCCCAGAGGAGGCTATCGCAGCGTGCGACCGCGCCCTGGCCGCCCTGGAGGGCCAACGAAGGACGGAGCCGAAGGAGCTGGCCAACGACGACCTGGTGTATTATGAGCACCAGGGCAGGGAGGGGTTCGGCATCGTGGACATGGCCCACCCGCATTTCGGCGACTATGTCGTGAAAGACCTTGGGACCGCAGACATCGTGAAGGTCAAGGCTGGCAAGTACGAGGAGGTTTCGAGAAGATTCCGACGGAGGGAGCTCGTGGCTGTGCCCCGTGAGTTGTTCGACACCCGACTGGCTTGCCTGAACAACCTGACGCTCGTGTCCCTGAAGTTGGCCAAGTCTACCCTGAGGGACGAAGACTTCGTAGCCACCGTCAAGCGAGCGGACGATGCGCTTGCCATGGATGGCCGCGCCGCCAAGGCTCTCATGCGCAAGGGGGCCTCGCTGCTCGTCCTGAAGCAGGTGAAGGAGGCCGTGCAGGCCCTGACCCTGGCCTCGCACGTCACGCGTGGGAAGGACTCTGAGGTGGAGCGTCTCCTGGAGGCGGTGATGGTGGCCAAGGCGGGTCTCGCTTCGATTCGCCCGACTCGATTGGACTCGATTTCGATGGATTCCCATTCCAGTTCGATTCGACTTGGGATTCCGATTCGGGCTCCGATGTCTCACTGGATGCGTACCAGCCCGCCCATTTCTGCCGCTTCGACTCCTCCCGACTCGGCTGCCGATTTCCGCCGACCCGAGTCATGTCGATCGCCGATCCGACATGTCGATTCGATTCTGGGGTTAAGTCGGGCCTATCCCTCTACAAGGGGACTATTCAAAAATAGTTTTAAGCAAATAGTCTGGGGATGACTTTTTTAATCTCGTGCTTTTATGTTTTTAGTATTTTTGGGTATGTCTGATTTTTTCGTTCAATCTACCCCTGTAGGAGGACGTGCCCGACCTAATTCCGGGGCCTTCTGCCAAGGGCAAGAGCAGGGGCAAGGGCCGGGGCAAGAGGAAGGGCGAGGACGAGGGCGACGGCTCCGGCGAGGCCGCTGGCAGGCGGAGCCCGTCGCCCTGCTCCTACTCGTCGAGCAGCGATGCCCCGGCGGAGGCGCCCAGGCCCGCCGGGCGCGACGGCGACGCCGAGGAGCGGGAGCGCACCACTGCACCACTTGAAGAAGAAGAGACAGCATACACACAAACTTTTGGGGCTGCGCGCGGATGTCTTGGATCCGCGCCTGGGCCCCCCCCCCCCCCCCGGCGGCGCCTCCCGCGCCGCCCCTGGCGCGCTCCGCGCGCCAGGGAGGGGGGTCCAGCGCGAATCCAAGAAATCCGCGCGGAGCGCCAGAAGTTTATGTTTTTGCGTTTTCGTTGTTATTTTGTTATGTTACAAAACAAAAAAACGCAAACGAGGTGTGGAAGTTGATGAGGGAGTTTGGTCTGCGACGGCGAAGATGTGGGAATGCGCGTCGGGGTGCAGCAGGATGTGCGGGCGCGTGGAAGGTGGCGAGCGCGCGGGGGAGCACGTAGGGAAAAACGAAGAATGACATGAACATCAAAACTCGGAGGTCCGCGCGGACTTCTCGGATCGGCGCGTTGGGGCCCCCTGGCGGCGCCTCCGGCGCCGCCCCTCGGCGCGCTCCGCGCGGACTTCCGAGTTTTTATGTTTGTGTCATTCTTCGTTCCCCGAGCACGGGCCCCGGCTGGCCAGGGCCCTGGCGCGAAGCCCACCTGGCTCGGGGGCGGCACAGAGGGGGGTGGCGACTGGGGGGGGGTGGATATCATTGCGTGGGCCATGATGCTTCTTCGGACCTCATGGCGCCTCTTCTCGTTTCATTACGTCCCCGGGCCCCCTCTGTGCCGCGCACATGCCGCCGGCCATGATTTGCCCCCCCCCCCCCCCCCCTCTCGGACGCCCCCCTCTTGGTCGCTCCCGAGGGAACGCACGGGCCCCGGCCGGCCACGGCCTTGGCGCGAAGCCCAGCTGGCCGCTCGGTGACTCCCAAGCCTGGGCCGGGGGAGGGCGGAGGGGGGGAGTCGGCCCCAGGTGGCTCCCAGACGGGGCCAGCCACGGGGGATCGATTGGCTGACCCCCGTTGCGTGAGTTCCGTCCTGTGGACCCTGAAACTTCGTTCACATCTCCGACGGGAGCCCCAGTCCGCATCCTGCTCTGGCATTCCACGAGTCAGACACATCCGTGATGGATCTAGGGCCCGAAGCCTGGCGAACGCGCCCGTTGTGAAAACACTGCGACGCCGGGATCTCAGGGTCTTGACCCCCGTTAGCGCTGACGAGAAGAACCTCGTTACCCAGACGTCTGGCTGCTCCATTATTCCGATGCGTGGGCCCTGGAGGTCTAAACTTCCTTCCTATGGCCGGTTTTTCGTCACGAGTCGTTGTTTGACGGTGCTGGGGCTTTGCGAGGGCCCCTGGAGGCCAGAAACTGCCAAAAAGCCCACCGCTCGTTTTTTGTTCTGGGAGTGTCGGATCGCAGTCTCGAAGCACCGAGCAGTTTTTCCGGGTGGAGGGCAAAGGGTGGACTCCAAAAAATGCCGTTTCGATGGATCTTCGAGGCTCGAATCTGCAAGGGGTGGAACACACAAGACGGGTGGATAATTGTTCGAGGTGCAAGAGCACATGTGGATTTCACCGTGGCGGATCGATCCTCCGTCGGGGGGTGTGGGAGAAGACCGCTGCCTCCTCGGACCGACCTTGGTGGGCCCAGCAAAAAAAAAAAAGCATGTGGATTTCACCGTGCGCCTTCCACCCCGAGAAGATGCCCAGAAGGAGGCCGACGACGACGGCGAGGAGCCGCTTATCGAGGAGCTGCCGCGCGGCCCCGGCGGCAGCGGCGGCGAGGAGGCGGCTGCCCCCGCCGCCGCGGCCGAGGCCACGAGCGCCGGGCGCGATCCCGGGGGCGCGCCGGCCGAGGCCACCGAGCGGCGGCCGCACCAGGCCCTCAGGGGCGAGGTCCCCAGGACTGGAGGGTTCCTCCGGAGGGCTTAGGCGACCCATCCTCCTCCTCCTCCTTCTCCTCCTCCTGCTCCTCCTCGTCCCTCCTCCTCCTCCTCCTCCTCCTTCTCCATCTACTCCTCCTTGCTTCCTCCTCCTCCTCCCTCCTCCACCTCCTCCTGGACCTCCTCCTCATCATCCCTCCTCTACTCATCCTCCTCCTCCTCCTCCTCCCTCCTCCTCCTCCTCCTCCTCCTCCTCCTCCTCCTCCTTCTACATCTCCTCCTCCCCCTCCTCCCCCTCCCTCCCCTCCTCCTCCGCCTCATCCTCCTCCTCCTCGGGTCGCCTACGGCCCTGGGGGGAAGCCGTGCACGGCCCGGGACCCCTTCGAGGCATGAAGGAGTCACGGCGGGAGGTTTTTCGCTACAGTCGACGCCCACAGTGAGGAGGGGCAAGCTTCCCAAGGGTATCGGATGTTGATAGACTTCCTACCCTGACACGTCGATTAGCGAATTGGCTGTTTCCGGTTTGCGAGAGGGCGTCGCGGCCGTCATTTTTGCGGCTCCTGGTCCGTCGGTTTCGGTTCTAGGCCGAAATTTGACCAAAGTGTGGTCTACTAAAGGGAGGTTTGTCCACCGCCAAGGGTCCCCTCTTGCATCCTTGCTACCTCCTCGGTCCCTCCTTGGCCGCTTTCGCTGGCCAACCTCGTTTGAGAAACGTTCACGTGGCCCTCCAAGGCCCTTGCATCCCTGCCGCGCATCCTTCTGATACGTGGTTGATTGTACTGGGAAGGCCTCCAGGTGCCCTCACGGGGCTTCGGGACCGTCCAGGGAGCTCCTCGGAATAAAAATAAGGTCCTGGGGAGTTATCCGAGACCTAGGGGGTCGACGTTATGGAAGAATCATGACGTTGGGGGTCTGACTGTTCTGCACAGAAGGTGCGGCCGAAGTTTGTATCCATATCAGGTGCGTCTTGGACTTTCTTGCAAGTGGCGCCGCAAGGCTGAGGCGCAGTGGATGTGAATTCAATGCGAGCCTCCAGGGGCCAGATTTTATCCATATCCAGTGCGCCTCGGGTTTACGAGGAAGGGATCCCGAAACTCTAAGCTGCAGTGGATACTGACACAAGTCTTGCCCTCAAGAGAGAGAGGGCTCGCGCAAGTCCTGTGCGGGAGACACCGTGCGCCTTGTGTGGTGCTCTCGTGAGTGCCCCTGGGGCTGGATCCGCGCGCCCGTGCTCACACGGGAGAAGGAGGAGGCGCAGAGTGGGCGCCATGTGAACCGTAGCCGGCCAGGCGGAGGGGGAGCATCCACGGACGGGGCGACCCTGTGGGAAGCGAGGCCCCGAGGTCGTCGGGCACTTTCGCCGGTGCTCGGCGGTCGCCGAGCCTCGGCGTGCCCTCCAGCGGCGGCGCCTCGCCCCGCTGTGGGTCCACCGCGAGGGGGCCGTCCCATCCTTTGTGGCGGCTGCGGTCAGGAGCTCCTCCTCCTCCCTCCTCCCTCCTCCCTCCCTCCCTCCTCCTCCTCCTCCCTCCTCCCTCCTCCTCCTCCTCCTCCTCCTCCTCCTCCTCCTCCTCCTCCTCATCTTCCTCTTCTCCTGCTCCTCCTCCTCCTCCTGTTTCCTGGCGTGCCGCTCCGCTGGCCCACCACGCGGCGGCGCGACACGCTGCCCACGCCTCCGCTCCCGAGCGGCCACGTTACGAGCTCTTCCGAGACCCCCCGCCCTGCGCAGCGGGGCGCCGCGCGTTCCACTCGCAAGGCGTACACGCCGGTCGTTGAAAGCAGGGATCTCTGGATTCCCAGGTGCCAATCTGCTTCGAGCGCCTTCCAACTTCAAGGATCTGCATGCTTTTGCTGTGTTTTGTTATTCTCTGGGGGAACCTGGACCCAATCCACTATACCCGCCTTCCTACTTCATGCTTCTACCTACTTCTTCCGACCGACGTGTACAGATGGCGTGTCGCCGGAGCCGCCGCGGCGACACGCGATGCAGAATCGGAGGTGGATAGACCTCCTACCCTGACACGTCGATTAAGGAATTGGCCGTTTTCCGTTCGCGAGAGGACGTCGCGGCCGTCATGTTTGCGGGTCCAGGTCCGTCGGTTTCCGCCCCAGGCTGTTTTCACTAAGGGGAGGTTTACTAAAGGGAGGTTTGTCCACCGCCGACAGAAGCTCCCGACCGCACACGCACAGTGCATTGTTTTTGGCCCGAGCGGCTTGGACATAGCACCACGCAACTGCGGATAAGAGTGAGGGGGCGGCGGGTTCGTCGGCAGTCCGACAAGCTCTGAAGATGCCCGCCGCAGGCTCCGATTCATTTTATACATTACATGACGAGCCCGCCGCAGTTGTCGATTTCTCATCAAAGAAACGTGGGTTGGTGGCGGGTGTGTCACAGGGTGGGTCGCAGGGTGGGTCGCGGAGTGGTCGCGGGGTGGGTCGCAGGTGGGTCGCGTGCGGGTCGCGGGCGAGGACAACGACAACAACGCAACAGCCCAGCAACAATCCGCACCACGGAACCCCACCTCAGCCACGCACCTTCGCTTTGATAATCCTAGACACTTCGCGTAACCACGCCAGCCCATCCAGAAACGATGCCCACGCGAGTTGCCTTGATCATGGGTAAGACGTCGTACCGCAAGAGGGGGAGGATGGAGGAGGAACCGTAGGATAGCAGGAGGAGGAGGAGGAGGAGGGAGAGGAAGAGGGGGAGGAAGGTTGAGGACGGACGAGGAATCGGCGGATGAGGAGGAGAAGGAGGAGGAGTGTGAGCAGAAAGGCACTGGATGCCTCTCGGACTCTCTTTGGATGTCTTTCGACAGCTTCTTGGAGGCCTCTTGGGGCGTCTTGGGGGTCTCTTGACAGTCTCGGGGGCCTCTCGGGGCGTCTGGGTCACTCTGGGGGGGCCCCTTGGGGCCTCTGGTGGTCTCTTGGGAGCCTCTTGCGGGCATCTTAGGGGCCTCATGGGGGCATCTTGGGGCCTCCTGGGCACCTCTTGGGGCAGTGTTTGGGCACCCTTGGGAGCCTCGGGGGCCATCTTGGGGCAATTTTGGAGGAGATCGATCAACGGATGGGCCGTAGCGAATCACCGCCCCCCCCCCGAGGCCAAATTGTTGCAAACACCTTGGTAAAATCAATGGTGTTGGCCTTCTCGGCACCCTTGCGAGGCTTGGGGGCCATCTTGGAGAAGATTGATCAAATGAGGGGGGCTCCTCAATTAACGTTGCCCCCTCAGGAGGCCAAAATGTTGTCAAATCCCAGGGAGGATCCATGTTGTCGGCTTTCTCGACGGAGGAGGTAGGGGAAGTGATCAAACAGTTTCCCCGCCCGCAGGCTTTCTCGCTCACTCCCACGCGCCCTCCCACCACATAAGTAGCAGCCGATCCTCAGCATATTCAGCGGTCGTCGATGCATGGACAGCTATAAAGAATCAGCGCAGACCCCATGCGCGCGACGCTGGGGCGAGGTGCGCCACGCCCCTGGGGCCCAAGCGTGCCAGGCACGACTCGCTCGCCAGATGCGCTACGTGCGCCATGTGTGCCGCATGCTCCAGCCGCGCCAGGCGCGCCACGTTCCGGGTACGCGCAGAACGTGCCGTGCCGGGTGCGCCCGCGCACGTGACAGCGCACATCGGGAAGCATGTCGGCCCCCACCATCCTTGTCGACAACCTGTGCACAGTGGCGGCAGGGAGGCCATCATGGTTTCTACTGGGCCTGCATCCAGTAGGCACTAATCATGCCAGCACCCCCGCCGTCCCAGTCAAAAACAAATTTGCAGTGATCGCGGGGCGTCCGCCCATGATCCAGAGTTTGCCTCGAAGTGCATGTTGTTCAGTTTTTGTCAGGATGCTGGCCCTGCGCGCAGCAGGCAATGTGCGGGCACCCCCGCCGTCCCTGTAACAAACAATCCAAAGTGCTCGCGGCCTCCCGTTCATAGCCCAAAAATTTGCCCCAACGTGGATGTTGTATTGTTTCTTCACAGAGATGGTGAGGGGGGGCCCTCATTGGTCCTGGTTGGCTGCCGGTCACCTGGGGGAGAGGGTGTTTCTGATTAGGGAACATTGGAGCCGTGAGTGAACCCTTTCCCCGAATAGGGAAAAAAAGGCGGTTGGAAGAGGACCCCCCCTAAACCACTCACGCCCTAAGCCTGGCATCGCCTGGACGTCTGCAGTGTGGCGGGGGGAGGACCATCGCGGAGCATCTTGGATCATCTTGCGAAGATATATATATATATATATATAAAAATAAGCGCATGGCATCGGAAAAGGACACGGCGAATGGACGTCCGAGCGATCACAAGTACAGCCGACCCGCATGGTAAGGATGAGCGGCTTCGCAAGGTCACCCTTGCACCCTTCCCCTTCGGCCCAGCCGTGGCCGCTCTCGCGGGCCGCGTCCCGCCCGCACGGTGTCGACACGGCCTTCCGAGGCCCTTGCATCCTCATCGTGCGTCCTTATTTCGGGAGTTTCTGTATATAGAAGAAGGTGCGTGCGCCTGTTGGCGAGGGTGAGGATGAGGTTCCTCCTCCTCCTCCTCCTCCTCCTCCTCCTCCTCCTCCATCCTTCTCTTGCCTCCGTCTGTCCTCCTCCACCCCACAGCTCCATGATCTTCTCCTCCTCCTCCTCCTCCTCATCGTGCGTCCTTATTATACGACCCCCCCCCGAACGTGGACTGCCCACCCAACGTGACCCAGGCCTCGGTGACTCCGAGCACGGCCCGCGCGAAATGGGCGCGACACCTGCATCCCGGCGGCACGCACGTCTCGGAATCATGCTCCGGCTTGTGCGTGGGCCACATCTCTGAGTCAGCATCTTGTTGCCGCCCAGGCGCCGAGCCGTTTGTCACGTTGGTCACGCTAGCTTTAATGGGTCAGGTTGGCTTTGGCGCAGTGACGACAGGGCCTGGGTGGGGTTCAGTTGGGGATTTGCCACGTTAGGGTGGGGGCCTTGTACGGGTTGACTCTAAAGGGCTGGCCTCTTCCAGGAGGAGAAAGAACACAGACACAATTCATCGTCGACCCCCAGGAAAATCTGGGCAAATATGGGAAGCGGGGAGGAAGACGGACCCCCCCCAGAAAATGAATATGAAAGTATGGAATACCCTGGGATTTGTGTGAGTCTTTATTTGTCTGCCCCTGGGCCCCTTTCTTGTTGGACTCGCAGCAGGCCCTCGCTGCAGCGGCCGCCCTGGCCCTCGCCGCCGCCGCCGCCGCGCTCTGGGGGCCCGGCCTCTGGCGGGCGCTGGCTCTCGACGGCGAGGCGCCCGAGCTCGAGGTGGAGCTCTGACGGGGCCCCGCGGGGGCCGCCGGCGCGCTCCCAGCCTGCGGGTGGCCGCCTGCTCTCGCGGGGGCGGCAAGCTCCGAGACCCCCCTCGAGCAACGACAGAGAGATCGCGACGGGAGGCTTCTCATCATGCTCGGCCTCTGGGGGCCCTTAACGGGCCTCGGGGCCGTCCAAAAACGATTGGGGCTGAAAAAAGATCGCGACGGGAGGCTTCTCATCATTTTCGGCCTCTGGGGGGGCCCTTACCGGGCCTCGGGGCCGTCCAAAAACGACTGGGGTCGAAAAAGAGGTCCAGGGGCAACGGGTCGAGACTTCTGATGCGAAAAGATCATGACGTCGGGGGTCTGGGAAGAGGGGGATGATGACTAGGGGGGCGTATCAAGGCGTGGGCCATGATACCCCGCCAGATTTCCCAGCGCGTACAGGCCTACCCATTAGGCCGATTCAATGTGCCTGACTTCGATGCGTCCCAGGCCCCACCACTGGGCCGCGTACATGACGCCAGCCATGATTTGCACCCCTCCCTATTGGACGCCCCCCTCTTGGCCGCCCCCGATGCTCTCGTTGGGGCTCCAGGGTCGGGGGTCCATGCAAACAGGGGTCAGTCAGAGCGCCGGATCTTGCAGGATCCTGCATGGCCAGGGTTGCATTGACCCAGGCTTGGATGCAGGATCCTGCAGGATCCTGCGCGGTCCTGCAAAGCCTTGCTGGCCCGGGTCTGCATTGACCCGGGTCTGTAGAGCCCCGATCTCGGAGCCCGCACGAAAAGTTCACGTTTCTTCGCCACCCCATTGGGCACCCCCCCAGTGAGCAGAGCTCCCAGGTGAGGCCACATGGCCGTCCGGCCTGCGCACGGCTGGCCGGCGGCAGCCTGCTCCACGGCCCACCCGCCTCCCTGGGGAGCCAGCTGGCCAGAGCCACTGCTGGGCCAGCTCAGACCCCGGCTGGGGCGCGCCCGACGGGGCGCGTGGCATGCGCGCCCTCGGTCGGCCACTGCGCTGACGCCGTTTCGGCCCACGCGCTCCACAAAAGAGACGCCCCGAACAGGTCGGCGAATGGATGCACGCCTCTCAAGCAGGAGGAGGCGCTGGGCTCTGCGTCTGGAGCCCTTTCGGGGCCCCGTGCCGTCAGAAACGGATCCAGGGCGAGCAATCACAGCAGATGGACCTTGGGAGGGGTCCGGGGACTGAGTTTGAGCGGATGTGGCCTAACCTTGAAGTCGAGCATGTCCCTCTATAGGAGGGATATCCACACATAGTTTAAACAATAGTCGGGGAACCATTTTTTGGAGTTTGTTTTGAGTGCGTTTGGGTATTTTGTACATATTAAAATTTTCGCCCAGAGTCCGCCTATAGGGGGACAGGCCCGACCTAACCCAACCTCCCTCCTGACAGATTTTGTGGGGTCCCAGCCAGTTCAGACCCCCCAGTCGCCTCGAGCTCCCATCCCGCCCCCTCACTCTCACGAGCCATGTCGGCTCCCTGTCGATTGGAATTGATTCGATTTCGAGGATTTTCATGCCGATTCGATGCAATCCTGAATTCCGAATCGAATCGATTCGACCCTCGAAGAACAGACAACGGCATTAACATAAGCGTTCGGCGCTCCGCGTGGATTCCTTGGATCGGTACCAGGGCCCCCCTGGCGGCGCCTCCCGCGCCGCACCTAGCGCGTTCTGCGCACCAGGAAGGGAGTCCAGCGCCGATCCAAGACATCCTGGCGAATATCCACGAAACTATGTTCATGCCGTTTTTCCTTCCTCCTACATTGTATCCATGACCCCACCAGACGTCGGGGGTTTTCCAGCCTCAGGGTGCCTTGCAGCGGCTGCGCCTCGCCGAGAGCGTTCCTGGGGTGCCCAGATGGACCCGAACGGCCGCCAGAGACCTGAGTTATGACACGAAGACCAGACCACGACGACCTTTTGGACGGAATAGGCTCAGGAGGGATGCGTCGACCCTGAAATCGCCAATAGATCGCCGATAGGGGCCCGTTGGCCCACCCCGCCTAGACCGTTCGATTTTGCGATCGAAGGTCTGTCATTGCCGTCCTATCGGCGATGTATCACCGACTCCAGGTCGATGCGTCGCCCCCTTTTCCCAGCCCCCCCCTTATCGCTGGCCCTCACAGACGCCCTCGCGTCGCGAACGAGAAACAGGACGCAAGGCTTCTGGCAGTTTTCGGCCTCCACGGGCCCTTGCCGGGAGGGAGGGCGGGCGGGCGGGCGGGAGGGAGGGGCGACCACTGCAAGCTCCGGGCCACGAGCGAACTAGGGACTGAAGAGCAGTGATTAAAGAAGTGGCTACGAGGACCCCGAAAAACGGCCACCCTCCGACAAGGGACGCCCTTCCGCGCAGCCCCAAGAGCTCTGGAGGGGAGCCCTTGGGTCCACAGTAAGGTTCGTCCAAGCCAGTCACCACCCACCAAACCACCCCAACCCAACCCGAAGGCTTCAATTTACCCTCCATTTCCAGTGGGGGGGGGGGGTCGAGGAACGTTGAAAAAACACCTGATACCCGCACCCCCCCCAACCCGAACTTCGGGTCAAAAAATCGAGCCTTCGGGTTGGGATGTCGGAGGGCACCAACTATACACCAACACCGATCCTGGCCCAGGATCACCCTGGGCCCAGGATCGGTGTATATGCCTTCTTGCGCAAGGCAGGAGGGCGTCTTCACCGATCCTGGGCCCAGGGTGACCCTGGGCCAGGATCGGTGTTGGTGTATAGTTGGTGCCTTCCTAGGATGAGGTGGTCTGGTAGGTCGACAGCACGGCACACCGGCGGGCACCGCACGAGGAGACCGGCGTTCCGAGCCGACCGGCGGTGCAGTGCGGGCGCAGACGGCCCGGCTCAGGGCTCGGGCACACGGGGCCCCGCTGTCAGGAAGGAACAAACACACACAGACAGACACGATTCATCGTCGATTTCGGAGGGAGGAGAAGCGACACCAACACCAACAGGGGGCCACCTCCAGCGAGGAGGTCCACGAGGCCTCCCCGAGCTGGAGGCTGGGGATGTCTCGAGCGAGAGGGGGGGACCACACCACCAGGGAGACCCCCCTTGCCTCCTCGCATCTCCTCGCCCTGTTGGTGTTGGTGTCGCCTTTCCTTGTCCCTACGATTCCCCCGAAGATATGGAAGTGGGGGGGAAGACACACACAGCGAAAAAAAAATTGAAAACAGGGAATCCTGTCATTTGTGTCTGTTTTTTTGGGATCCCAGGGCCCCTTCACTGCTTGAGGACAAAGCTGGTCCAGATGAAATTGCACATGGAGTCTGTGATGAAAATGCCGGGGGGGAGAAGATGACGCAGCTCAGTTCGAAGAGCTTGGTCGCCGGCCTCTACATCCACTCTGGATGAGCTTCTCCAGCCGCTCGGTTACCTCGGTTCCCAAGAAATCGAGGACTAGCGACAGCTGACAGCCTCTGCCACCGGCTCTTGCGCCACCACTGCTGCGCCAGGAGCAGGAGCAGCCACAATAACACCAACTCCACGTTCATGCAGAACTTCGGCTGCTGGCACCCCGGCTGAAGAGGCGCCGATTTCCTCAGATGTGATCTCATAATTCGATCACTGGATTTATTAGTCTCCTTCTTGCGCCGGTTGCGCTGCTTCTTGGGCTTTACAGTCGTGGTGTCCGCTGCCGCCTCACCTTGAGAGCCACTCCGACCGAAGACAGGGTGATCGTCCTCGCCCCCGTCGGACTTCAGCGCACTCCGTGCACTTCGCCCCCGTCGGACTTCAGCGCACTCCCTCGACAGAGTGAAGTACTCCGTGCACTTCAGCGCCTGCGCGGCGGAGTCCTTGGCCTCCGAATCGGCGCTGGTGGCATCGGAATCACCACCACCCGCGTGCTCGGTGCTGGCGGCGGCTGCAGGCGCGCCCCCGGGCTCTTCTGCGCCGGAGGCGCTCCAAGGGTCTTCCCGCTCGCATCCACCAGCACACTGGCGTACGGGTTCACGACCTGGCCCAGCTGCTCCATGAACGAGCCCGGCCCTGGAGGCGTCGGAGGCAGGGGCCGAGATGCCGCCCTTGACGACGCGCTGCCCACCGGCCACGAAGCCTGCGATCTCTTCTTGCCCCTCTTCGTTTTCGGGTGCTGGTACTTGATGCTCTTTTTGCCGCGCGACTGGTTGCTGAGCTTCTCCTCCTTCATCTCCCAATCGGCCTTCTTGGAGATAACGCTCGATACTGGCTGCGGCGCTGGAGGCGGCGGCGCCAGAGCCGCGCCATTGACCTGGCGGCGCTTCTGGTCCCCCCCACCTGGAGGCAAGGGCGGGCGAGGGACTCGACGGAGCTCGCCATCCACCTTCAAGGGCAGGAACGCGTAGCCCTGCACAAAGACCGGCGGCGGTGTTGGAGTCAATGATGGTGGCGTCATTCTCACTAGGAGGGCTACACATATTCCCCAGGAAGGAGGAAGTCGCCGAATCGCACGCAATGAGGAACCGCATGCACCAGCCGTAGCCGACTCGAAAAACGCGAAAAACACGTGGGCATTGAACACACGCCGAGACTGACCCAGCAGGTCGCCGAAGCCCCTCAAGTACTGCAGCAATGCTGGGGAGCGGCAAAGAGGGGGGTGATGACTGGGGGGGGGTAGATATCATGGCGAGGGCTCCCCAGATATCATGGCGTTTCTTCGTGTTTCAATACTTCCCCGCTTCCCCCCCGGGGCCGCACACATGCCGCTGGCCATGATTTGCGCCCCCCCCCTCTTGGACGCCCCTCTCTTGGCCGCCCCCGATGCAGCAATGCTGGTCCAGCCCCCACGATCCCAGCGGGAGCACGTCGCGCGGCAACCGCGGGCAGGCCCGGGCGGCGCGGCAGCTCGGGCCAAGATGGTACCTCAGGGGATTGGGGGAGGGGAGGGAGGGAGGGAGGGGGGGGAGGGAGGGAGGGGGGGAGGGATGGCGGGAGGGAGGGGGGGGGAGGGGAGGGGGGAGGGAGGGAGGGAGGGAGGGGGGGAGGGGGGCTGGGAGGGTGGAGGGGGGCAGGGAGGGAGGGAGGGAGGGAGGCACCGGGGCCGACGAGCTCACACCCTGGCGGCAGAAGGCCCGAGACAGCACCGCTGAAGAGTAGAGAGGGCGCTGCATCACATTCCTCCTCCTCCTCGCCCTTCTCCTCCTCCTTCTACAGATCCTCTTCCTCTCCCTCCTCGTCCTTCTCCTTCTCCTCCTCCTCCTCCTCCTCCTCCTCCTCCTCCTCCTATTGCATTGTACTGCACATGCGGGAAAGAGCATGCGGGAGACCGTACTTGCGGGAGGCCACCCAGGCAGCCATGCGGGAGGCCACATGGGGAGACCCTGCCCGAGGCCATACGGGAGGCCATGCAGAAGGCCGAACTTGGAGACTACACGTGAGGCCATTCGGGAGGCCCTACGGGAGACTAGACTCGACGAAGGAAAAACCGCCATGGACATAAATTTTTCGCGCTCCGTGCGGGTTTCTTGGATCCGCGCTGGGACCCCCTCGTCGGCGCATCCAGCGCCGCCCCTGGCGCGCTCCGCGCGCCAGGGAGGGGGTCCAGCGCAGATCCAAGAAATCCGCGTGGAGCGCCAAAAGTTTGCTTGTCGCGCTTTTGTTTCTTATTATTCTTCTTCTATAGACTGGAATCTGTACTGGAGACCATGCGCGAGACGGTGGGAGACCCCAGGCCACCGATTCCGACTCCGGCAAGGGCGCACACCCAGCCTCACAGAAGTGAGTTCTACGTTTGTTACAGACAAGCTTATGATGCTATGCTACCCTGCGTGAGCCCCAAAGAGTGCGCTCTAGCTCTAGCATGTAATGTGGTGCAAACTGCGTGGTCCAACATATGGTATGGTGAGCAACACGTGCAGCATACAGTATTCAGTGCAACGTATGTCGTGTATGCTATGTTGTCCGCCTTACGTGGTGCCAAATTGATATATATATATATATACATATATATATATATATACAGATTGGTGGTGCAATCTACGGCTACGTGGTGCAGTATGTGGTGCAATACATGTGGTGTAAACTGGGTGGTGCAATCTACGTGGTGTGAGCTACGTGGTGCACTGTATGTTGTGCAATCTATGTGGTGCAGTCGATGTGGTTTAATATGTGTGGCGCATTCTACGCATGCGAGATACGTGGCGCAACATATGTGGTGCAATACATGTGGTGCCTATGTGATGTGAGCTTTGTGAGTACGTGGTGCGAGCTACGTGGTGCAACCTGCGTGGTGCAATATTTGCGGTGCGGTGTGCGTGGTGCAGTTAATTTCTCTTCGTAGTGAGTTGTCCACTTCACTGCTCGCGCAAACATCCCACCCACACACCCGCATCTTGGTTTGCAAACCTCATGCGGCGGCGATTGCGATGAATGCTTGGCGCTGGCGGGTGCATCCCTGCGGCCGCGCGAGTCGGCGGCTTGGGCGGGTGCGGTATCAAGGCGACGTCGACAGTTGTAGACACGATGACGATGATAGTGGCGATGTTGGTGACGACAATTGTACACACGATGATGATGATAGTGGTGATGACGGCGCCGATGCCGATCACGCCGACGACGATGACGGCGTCTTCGCGTCGGTGATGGAGGTTTTGGAATGAATTCGAAGTGCGCGCGCGGCAGACGCGCGAAAGTGGCTCGCATGGTATTGTTTGACACTGAGCGTGCCGCCCCAGCAGGCGCGCACAAAGGTGATCGAACGATTTCGACATGCGCGCGCGAATCCCGTTTGCTAGCATTTTGCGAAAATGTTGAAAACCGCATGGTTTTCTTAAGAGTTCGCAAGAGCGCGCGCACGGTTTTGTTGAACATGCGTGTTGCGAAACTATGTGCCTGTGTATGTTGTTGGGCACTCGACTTTGGACTCCCTCCGAAACTGAAGGGTTTTGAAGGATTCTGGCATGCGCGCGCGACGACCCGCGCGCATATTTCTTTCTATGTGTTGCAAAGGATTCTCGCGGCGGCACGCGCGCAAGGGCGTTCGAACGATTCCGACATGCCCGCGCGAAGCCCGTTTGGTAATTTATTCTTGAAATTGTTGAACAACCTATGGTTTTCTAAAGAATGTGCAAAAGCGCGCATGATTTTGTTGAAAATCTGTGTAGCTAATAAATGTATGTTTTTTGTTTGTTTTTGGGACGCTCGATTTTGAAATCCTTCCAGAACCAGCGGTTTTGGAAGGATTCCGGCACGCGCGCGCGACAACGCGCGCGTGTGCACTTCCTTATATGTTTGCCGTTCTTTTGTGTTTTTGTTTTTTGTTTTTGTTTTTTCTGTTCATAAATGAGAAACGAAAAACGTTTTTGATGTTTGATAAACGGGTGCGCGCGCATACTATTTGTCGCAAGGGAGCCGAGGAGGGGCCGATACCGGCTTGTCTGGGACATTATGAGTTCACAGATGGACATGTGGGTCAGAATCAAACGTGTTTTACATAGGTTCCCTGGGGGTGGATAAGTCTGGGGAGGGGAGGGTGGTAGAACCTATTATTTCTTCTTTAGAAAAGGAAAGCTGCGCGGTTCAATCTATGTTGTGCAATCTTTGCGGCACCACCCGTGTGGTGCAATGCAAGTGTTGACAGCTGTGCGGTACAGACTATCTTAAGAAAGGTATGTGGCAAACCCGACGGGGTTTAATGTATGTTATGTAAGTTCCGTGGTGCAATTTATGTGTTAGACATGTGGTGCAACATGTGTGATGGAACCTGTGTGGCGCAATGGTTGTCGTGCAAAATGTGTGGTGTAACCTTTGATTGCAACATGTGTGATGCAACCTACGTGGTGCCACCTATGGGGTGAAAGGGTAAGCCATGTGGTGCAATCCCTGTGGTGTTAGCTACAAACAGCAAAATATGTGGTGCAGTCTCTGTCGTGCAATCTATGTGGTGCAGCTGGTGTGGTGCAATCTATGTGTGCAGTCGATGTGGTGCAATTGATTTTTACCCATGATGTGACACACCTCATGCTCTTGCAAACATCCCACCCACCCACCCGCAACTTGGTTCGCAAAACCTTTTAAGACCGTGACGGTAGGTTCCACATGGCACTTGGCAACGACACCGGCGCCGACGACGACGACGACGCCGACGACGACTACGACGACACCGACGACGTCTCCGACGACTTCGACGACGACGACGACAACGACGACGACGACGACGACACCGACGACGACGACGACGACGACGCCGACGACGACGACGACGACGACGACGACGATGACGACGTCGACGACGACGACGACGCCGACGACGACGACGACGTCGACGACGTCGACGACGACGACGTCGATGACGTCGACGACGACGACGACGGCGGCGACGCCGACGTCGACGACGTCGACGACGACGCCGACGCCGACGCCGACGCCGACGACGACGTCGCCAACGAAGACGACGACGACAAGCGAGGAGGGAGGACGACGACGACAACGACGACAACGACGAGGGAGGAGGGAGGACGGCGACGACGCGAACGACGAAGAAGGAGGAAGGACGGCGACGCCGACGACGGAAAAATCGAGGGAGGAAGGAAGACGACGACGAGACGACGACGACGACGACGACGACGACGGCGACGAAATAGGAGGGACGACGACGAGACGCCGACGACGGACGACGACGACGACGAGGGAGGAGGAAGGACGACCACGGCGACAACGACGACGGAAACGACCACGACGCCAACGCAGACGACGACGACGACGAACACGAGGAAAGACAGAGGACAACGGCGACGACGACGACGACGCCGCGGGAGGAGGGAGGACGAAGACGACGGCGACGACGACGACGACGCAAGAGCGCGCGCACACGCTTTTGTTGAAAATCCGTGTTGCGAAATCTTGGGTTTTTGTAGGTTTTTTGGACACACGATTTTGAAATCCTTCCGAAACCGATGGGTTTTGAAGGATTTCGGCATACGCGCGCGACGACGCGCGCGTCTGCACTTCGTCCCATTTTTTGCAGAGGATTCCCGCGACGGCACACGCGAACAGGCGTTCAAGCGATTTCGAATGGCGCGCGCGCAAAACCCCAATCAGCAGTTGTGAAAATGTTGAAAAACAAATGGTTTTCTTAAGATTTTGCAAGAGCTCGCGCGGAAGCTTTTTAGCAAATCCGTGTTGCGAAACCCTATGTTTTTTGTATGTTTTTTGGGGAACTCGATTGCGAAATACCTCCGGCACTTAACAAGGTTTTTGAAGGATTTCGGCAGGCCGCGCGCGACGACGCGCGCGTCTGTGCACTTTCGGTCCTTTTTGCAAGGGATCGTGACAAGTGTTTAAGCTAAAACAAACTTCAAACGCATATGTTTTTCACAATGGAGAATCAGGGGGGGATACCGCCGGCCTGGGGATAGTGATGG